AGGGAAATGGCCGTAGGTAACACTTTCGGTGCAACCGCACTATCATCCTTTGGCGGTTTCTGGATCTCCTTCGCCATCATTCTAACCCCAGACTTTGAAATCGAATCCCAGCTCATCGCCCTCGGCAATGGCTCGCACGCCAAGTTCCTCGACTCCTTTGGCTTGTTCCTCATGGGCTGGTTCATCTTCACATTCCTCCTAGTCCTCTGCACACTCCGTTCCACCGTGGCCTTCTTCTCTCTCTTCTTTACCCTCGATCTTGCGTTCCTGATGCTTGGTATTGGGTACTTGCACAATGACGGTATGGAACCGCAGAGTGATTGCATTGTCGCTGGCGGTGCGTTTGGATTGATGGCTGCCTTTATCGCGTGGTACAATGCTCTGGCGGGTATTGCGGATAGCTCGAACAGGTATGTTGGACCCCCTTTGTGATGCTATTCCTTAGAATCAGGCAACAGCAGAAGCTAACGATGTGATAGCTTCTTTGTCATTCCAGTAGCACACTTTCCGTGGAGCGACAAGGGCCGTGAGAGGCGCGACAAGGTCGACAACTCGGCTGCGCGCGATGGTGCGCATGAGGCTTAGTTGATGGAATCGAGAACGATGTTTATGGTGATGTTGGTCAAATACCCTGGGATGCAACACCCACCATTATCTACGCTGGCTGGACGCGATCTATGAATGCGATTTGGCAATGTCTATTTCGCAACGATTATGAGATATTCTGTTTTTAGCAGGATTTTTTAATACCAATTTTTTAAATGAGAAATTGTACCACCTATTCAGCTCGTGTAGCTCGTCTAAAGTATAAGCTCACATCACGTTACACTCTATCTAGATCACCCGTCTTCCCATGCCTAGGTTCGTGTAACATCTACAGTCCATTTTACCCCATCACATCACATGATCCACATCACGTCCATCAAATCACCCTTTCCATTCTCCCATTAAATCCCACGTCCCATCACACCACACCCCACCACACCCCATCCTCGATCGATCCCCCAAACACACATACATCATCACATCACACTACACTACACTCACTACACATCCCACCTGCCGTCTTCCCTCAGCCGACGCACACACTCACGCACATCTACCTCAGCCGACGCATAACACTCACGCACATCTACCAACTACTAGCAAAAGCCACACCCGCAAGCCCCCTGACGTATGCCATGCACAAAATATTTTAGGGTTAAGCTTTGCATGCAAATTACCAAGACCTTTTTTATTTCCCCGCCCTTCCCCATTTCCCATTCCCCTTCGCTTAGATATGACTTGGATGATGTCATTTTGTGCGAGGTGAGCTGGAGATTGTAGGGCGTGTTGCGGTCGATGGTGATGTCAAGGGTCGGGTGATTGGATTGTGGGTAAAGGTGTTGGTGGTAGAGTACCATGAGTGCCCGACTTGTCCAGGTCATAGGTCATGAAAGTGAAGAAAGACATCATTGTAAAAAAAAAGAGCAAAGTGTTTCCAGTATCAGTGTCAGTCATTACCATCTGATGCCATACCATTTAACGCTATCAAGCTGCCATGTCGTGGCTAACTCTGCATCGCAGCGCATACATGTCGCAGGCTGCCATTACAGCACCGCAAAAGCACTACAATAGGAAACACTACTATCCTTTACGCTCTCCACAAGTCCACTCCTCTCATACCTCAAGAACCGGAATCTGCCCTTCCCTTCCCCTACCTCTGCCTTCTCTACAGCCGCCATGAATAACCCAATCGGATGGCGTCCACACACTGTATTCCCTGTCTCCTTCAACTGGTCTAGAAACTGCTTGTGCTCGCCACTCTCAACTGCGTCCATGCTCTCCCTATCTACTGCCGCGATGCTCTCATGTATGGGGTAGTCGTTGGGCACGCGTGAATTGGAGCGGAGATCCGTGGCCGACGAGCCGTCGGCAGATTGATAATATGTGTAGCGAAAGCGGGAGCCCCAGTGACAGAAGTCGGAGGATATGACGAAGATGTTGGAGGGGTCGGAGAGGTAGGGCGCGAGGAGGGCGCCGTAGTGGGATTCTGTGGAGGGATCGGTGTTGCCGACCATGATCGGGACAAGAGGGACGGATGACGGGGAGGATTGGAAGGATTGGTTGTTGCTGGAGGGTTGGTCAATATGAGCTGATTGAGCATGGATGAGGGGTAGTACAGTGAGAGCATCTTGTAAATGTAGGGAAGGTGCATTTCGAGACTGTGTTCGTCCTCGTCTACACTCTTGGACATGACTTCTAGGTTCCAGTCCTCTTGGATCTTCTTGACGAGCGCAGTGTCGACTGCAAGGTCTCCGAGTGGTGTACCATACTTGTCGCAGCCAGTAGTCGCGGCGCCAGTGAGGTAGTGGTGGTGGGATGGGCCGAGGAGGAAGATGCGTTTACTAAGCCGTACGTTAGTAAAAGACCATCAAGCTGCGGGCAGGGGTGGCAGCATACGCATTCGCCCAGTCTATGCTCTTGTAGGCCCATGCAGCAGCAGGCCCGGAGTAAGAGTATCCAGCGTGTCTGCAGATCCATGAGCCCGGATCTGATTCGCTTGTTATTGGGTGATAGCCTACGGTGCGATTATGGCTCGCGCGTTTGGTGTCGGAATAGATACTTCGCCTTGCTGTGAGGATGTAGTCCCGATGGGTGTGGTTGCACTGGGTACAGCTTCCAGCCAGCCATCAAGCTGCTGCGATAGCTGCTGCTTACTGTCACTGTACCATGAGCCTGCGTGTGATGGTTTACGCGTGACCATGGTTATGTTATGTTCAGTCGGTGAGCGCAGAGCTAGGAGAAGGGTCCTTGAAGCCCAACTGATGGGTTGGATGAGTGACGGTGGGACAGTAGGAGCATCTGGTGGGGAAGCTTTGGTGGGGTATGCGGTACCGGTACAGCTCGTGGAACCGACATAATGTCACTTCGCAGCGACAACTTGCATCTGTAGCCACACACCAACTCACGACACGAAATCATGCAGAATACTGTCCTGAATGTTGATGTACCTTTGTAGTTAGCGATGGAGTCCTTGTCTCCATCTGCTTCGTTAGCTTCATGGTACCGGTACGTCATGCACCGACCAGCTTGATTCGACAATGCACCAGCATTCTTGTGAAGAAGCAACCATCTCTCTGCGGTCTGCAAGCTGCGAGAGTAGGGTCTGCATTTGGTGCAGCTATCCAATGCGAAGACATGCTTTCTGGCTTTGTGGATGTGGTTGGAAGCTATGATGCCCTGCTCGAGCGCAATTGCGACGCGACGCGCTCGCGAATGACCGGCGCGTCCCCTCGGGCCAGCCACTTACGGTGCACGCAGCATCCGCATCAGCATCATCGATCATCGATCGACATACCGTCTGGCCCAGCACCACCCGTCTCCGCGTGTCGAAATACCACACCACACGCACAAACGACACGCATCTCATACCCAATAACTGCATCATCCCAGCGCTCATCAAAACCGTCACAGCACAAACATGACCATCAAACGCAAGCGCTCCGAGGACGACTCGCCGCTCTCAATCTCCAGCTTCGGCGGCCTCTCCACGCCAGAAACCCAGTCCCCGTCCTTCTTCTCCCGCTACGAGGGTGCAATGGAAATGGACACCGACTCTGCGTCACGCTCGAATCCATGGAACTTCGCAAATGCAAGTCGCGTCAAGAGCAGCGACTGGGGTTACCGAACACGCAAGAGGTTCCGTGACAATCGGCCGGATGAGCAATCTATCCATGGTTCGTTTTTCCTATCCTTTCCAATGCAAGGGGAACAACCTACTAATTGTACTCTTCATAGAAAACACACTGAACAAACTCTTCGCCGCCCAGCAATCCACCCCCCTCGCCACCCCCATTCCAACCTCCACCATATCAGCCCAACCTATTCGCCCGATCCTCCAACAAAAATCAACCCTCCACTCCTTCTGGAAACAACTCCCCGCTCCCCCTGTCCGACCCCTCATCTTCCCCATCCAACCACGTCAACCACAGTCTCCGTCCCAGCTTCCTCAATGCGACGACTGCGACGCGCCGCTTGTCAGTGACAGCGAATGCATGGATGTAGACATGGATGTTGACATGGGAGGAGCGGTAGAGAGCAGTCCCTTTGCGTGTTGCGATTGTGGGAGGAATGTTTGTGGGACGTGTGCGGTTGTCTCTGCGAGGAGAGTGTGTCTGGGGTGTGCGACGAGTGGTGGGAAGGCAAGTCGGTGGTGGTGAAGAGGTCAACATTATATTGGTCAAAGACAAGGGGTTGTTGAGTGCATGAGCATGCGTTGGGTGATATGAGTCATGGCGTTCAGCGGGTGCAACAAGGAGCATGGTACGCAATGGAGGATTCAGGGGAAGCACGGCGTGGCCCCGTATAATAGGTGGCGTTTGGTACAGCGTTGCGATAACACTAGCATAGAGATAGATACCCAGCATTACTCAAATTGATATAGCATTCCCACATTACTATTTCTCTCTTCTCAAGCACTTCAAGACAATGTCGACAAGGTCCGCCAGGCAGGGCGATAGTGCCGAATGCGAGGTCTTCCTCCTGCACTGGAAGAAAGGAGGGAGCGAAGTTCAAGAGAAGAGAAGTCTGTATATGGGGTTGCTCATTCATACGCCCCGATTCTATTTCATGGTTCCATCAGCAATTATGGATTGGCTAGTTGTACGGTCATGGTGGCGAGGTAAACCAAAGGGCAAGAGCCACGGCATGAATAAAAAGGTTGACCACTGTATCAGAACCACACACAGATGACAGTTCTTAACCTATCATGAAAGAATCATTGACCGTTAAATATTGCATCTAAGGTGTAATACCCCCCTTTGCACATATCCACCACACAAAGTCTATTCACGAGAGTATGACATTGGACTGTCCACTTCTCAGCATCAAACAATGTGGCCTTCAGTACCTTAGCAGCGAGCAAGAACAAAAAATATTGAACATCACTCAGTCCCATCAGCTAATCCCAAGTAATATCCGTTGAGCTTTGATCACACCGCATGGGCAAAAAGAAGAAGGTCGCACCCAGGTTCGAACTGGGGTTACCAGAATATTTGATGCAAGTCAAAATCTGGAGTGATAACCACTACCTATCGAGGAATTAGAATTCTGAGAGTGCTGAGGAGGTAGGTGAAGGAACATACACTATGCAACCGAAAGCTGCCAACTGCTTTGATGGCTGACTGGAAGCAAACAAAATATATATTGTTGGCATCAAACGGCGGCGGGGTGATCGTGGCGCGATCTTTAGGGCGCAGGAAAGCCTCTTGCGAAGGGCCCACTGACTAACAAACTTACCCCACCACCCCGCCTGAGCTGAGCCTTGAAGTAGAATACTAGCGAAACTGAAATTGCCGAGGTACGGCCTAAACTTAAGCTTAAGCGTCGAACCATCGACCCGTCGACCCTTTGTTTCAAATTTGAAAATCTGTTGGCGTGGACAATGCAGAGACTGGACGTTGACGAGGTTTTCAAGAGAAGCACGCGACGAGGCGTCCTTCACTACTTTGAGGACAACACACACATGACAACTGAGTATAGATACATGCAGTGTCCTGACTGAGCGCATTGGGAAGGATGCAAGTGCAGAATGCACGTCACGGTACCAAACTCAGCGAGACTTTTGCACCGTTGTGGAAGGTATAGACTGCTTATAGCACTTATTTCGGGTGGCAAGAACGCACGCAATTGCGTACATCATTGTTGAAGTCATGACTTCCCGTCCATACCTAGGCATATTGTCGATTTCTCAGCCCGTAAATCTATAGCAGGCGCTTCAGTTGCAAACAGTTTCGCACTTTAACGAATTCGTCTTAAATGCAATGTTATATCTTAATTCCCATCACCTGGACTGTTTAAAAAGGCGTGAGGCCATGAACCTTGCTTTAAAGACGTGTTTGGCAATCACACAAAGCGCATGCATACCACAGGTAATTAACAATCTCTGAAGAGAATAGACTTTAAAGCACAACCTTTCAGAAAACAATTATAACGCTGTATATGCACACTGAGATGGCTACCATAGTTATGTACAAATGCCATGCTGAATTGCTTGTAATTTATCTAAAGAGTTGAATTTTTGACTGCAGGGTTGCTGGGTGTCGGTTCATCCCTTTTCGCGCAATGGCTTGCCCTCCCTCTGGTGATGTTTGTGCCATGATGGAAGACGAGACGGGAATCCTGAAATCTTGAATCAGAATCTCGTTATCGCGGTTCTCGTGCCAACCCATGTTGTGGTCAATTGAGTCCACTGCTGTAATGCAAGATCGCGGAATGATGAGTACATCATCCGCATCACGATGGCTTATATAGACGAGTGCTTGGGAATGCCGATACAACAAAATTTGGAGGGTCTCTCCATGTCAGGTACATTTGCCCTTCTGGTGGTGTCTAGCGGTTCACGCTAGTCATCCGGAATGGCTTTTGGTGGCGATATAATCCAAGGTTCTAATTTTACGAAAAGAGAACTAGTACATAGGCAGCAGGCAAACTAAATGTGAACAATTATCCTCTAGGTGGCATCCATAGAAGATGTAGTTGTTGTCTGCTTAAGATCCTCCTTTGATTGACAAAGAGTGTGAAGGACTGGGTATACTATCACAGGGAAAACAACCTGCCCTTCCTTGAACAAGAAGACGCAGACTATCAATTTGTATTAAACCGAGACAGTCTGGTGGCTCCATGCGCGTGAAACCCCTTCCACATTCGAAAAAACCTGCAAAAAGGTATGAAAAAAATTATAATTGTATACGGGCTGTGAGGATCGAACTCACGACCTCCTGCGCTCCTATCGGTAAACCGATTGTAAAGCAGACATCATAACCACTAGACAAAGCCCGCAATTGATTGATGCAATGACCGATGGCGATTTTGGAACGCTGTCATATAATATCCTTAGTCGAAATTGTACAGACTGGCCTGAGCTCTCACTATTCAAAGACTGGGTCGGTACAACAATCCAGAGTTCATTGTGGGTTCAGGAACCGGCTAGAGCGACGCGGGGTCGACCTCGGTTGTCCTCAATGCTCTCCGCCCAAAATCTTCGTATCAGACGGAGCAATGCAAAGTGCTAAGATAGCAGTCATAAGAATTATTATGGAAAACTAGAAATATAACCTGTCACTATTGTCCCAAGAATCTCGGATCTCCTGAACCTTACCTAAAAAGCGCTTGGAGCTGCCACCTCCAGCTGGGCTATGCACCGCTGATATCATCACCTTAACTCCGACAACCTCAGGCCCAACTTCGCCCGTCTCACGCACTTCCCACCCTCTACCACCCCCTCAAAATGTCTCACGCACTCTTCAAAAAAGTGCCTGGCCTGCGCACCTGCACCAGGCGCACAATTCCGCGCATAGCACAATCCTCCTACCACAGCAGCTCAGGCCCTAAAATGCAATCTGGCAGCGCACCCCTCCGCATCCTCTTCCGCCAGACCACTCTCCGCGCAACCGCCATCGCTGCACAACGCACCTCGTACCCCCTGACCCAGCAATTCTCCCAACAAACCTACCCACAACAGCGCCCACGCACGCCGTCCCCGCCTCCCCCGTACCAATCCCGCAATATCTCCTTGCTAGCGAGTACATCGCAATGGACGCGTTTCACCACTCCTAACAACACACTCTCCTCCGTCCGCACTTTCACGTCTACCCCGAAGCCCTCTTTTGCTTCAGAGACTGCCCCGGCAAAACCGCACCCCAGTCTCGCTCCGGACGCGCAAGCTGCTGTTGACGCGGCGATCGAGGAAATCAGCGAAATGTACGGCACAGCGCGCGATGAGTTTGAGATTGCGAGTGAGGAGAGCGAGAAGAATACTACCTATGCGCCTGATGACCGGGCGGCGGCGAGGGAGGAGTTGGATAAGCTGTTGGAGTATTACAGGGGGGTTATTGAAGGAGATAAGGAGGTGGGAGAAGAAGTCAAAAGGAGGGTTGGGGGCAGAATTAGGGAGTTGGAGGGTGCAGTGATTGCGATGGAAGAGAAGGCGCTGGAACATGATTAGTTTGGAGGGTCAGCAAGGAGAGCATACTGCAAGTTAAGCGAGAAAATCACCACTTTATGGGCGAGGAGATGTACTGTATACCCAGGTCTCGCATGTTCTTGTATTATACTAGTCTCGGGATTGAATGAAAGGCCGAGGGAAGAGCATATATGTATCAATGTACCAGTAGCCCCTGGGTTCTCATGTACAATAGTTCCTGATACCGTATTTCACCGCCAACGGTCCTCGACACACTGCCAGGAACAATACGACTCACAGATCGAAGTCGCTCCAAAGTAATATTAAGATGCTAAAACGCCGTCCCAGTCAACCTCAAACACGCCAAACACTTTTCAACATCAAGAAGGCCTTGGCTTCGGCATACTACTATGTTTAACACTCCACCCCTGCATCGTCCTCCGCGTGCCCAGTGTCTTTCTCTGCGCACTCTGACTCTGCAACTGATTCATAGACGTGGTATGGAACGTGGACGCTGATCGGAAACCAATGTTCTGCTTCACCGGGCTCGCAGGATGATCTGCGTCCTCGCCAACCTTCCCAAACTGATCAGAGTCCGGCTTTACAGGCGAGCTGGATAGTAACACATATCTCGTGCTCTTCTCTTCTTCATCTCGCTCAAGTCTTTTAGGCTTGGTAAGAATCGGCCGTGATTGTAATTTATGTGCGGGTAGCGAGAAGGGTTGGAATGTTCGTGACGCTGGGGTTTGGGCGTTGGCTATATCATGTAACACCGCATTCGTCGACGAGGAAGACTGCGAGCGCTGGAACGTCGGTATCGGGACAGGTGCATATTGTTCCGGTTCCACAGACAGCGTGCTCCCTGATCTCTTGAAGAAGCTGGTGATGGCATTTTGACCCGTCGCTCGTGGTTTCACCGCTTTTGTTCGCGCGGGCTTTGCTTCTGCGGTCTTCATCTCGCTGAACGCGTTCTTTGCGACGTTTCTGCTCAGAGCAGGAGCGCAAGCGAGCATGCGTATCCGTTCTGCTTCTTGCTGCATAGCTTGCAAATCGCCTAGGTCACGTGCGCTGGTGAAGCCACCCTTTGCGGCGTGCATTGTTGTTGATGCGGTGGAGAAGCTGGAGGTCTGTTGCATGCTTATCGACACTTCTTCGCCCGCATATGACTTGTAATTTGCAGTCTCAACTTTGCGGCGCTTGGAAAATGAAGCTGCATTATCGCCGCTGGGACCGTTGCTGCCAAATTTATCGTCGTATGATGCACCCCATCGTGAATTATCATCGTCGATTTCTTCCCGTGTGGCGGGGTATCTGTCGTCTTCCAAACGTTCCAACAGGCTGTGGGTAGCTGCAATGTCTGCTGGTTCAGGACAAGATCTTCGAAGTATTCGTGCTAGATCTGGGACCGTGCTACGTTTGAAGGCAAAGTCTGGACCTCGATCGCTGAACAACCTTTGCAGTTTTTGGTCGGAGACGAACCGTGAGAGTGTGGTTTGCTCTTGGCCTGACTGTCGGACCGGGCAACTCAAATAGAGGAGGCCTTGTGCACGTGTCATCCCAACATATAATAAGCGTCTTTCTTCGTCGTGGTCTTCTGCGCGGGAGTGAGGCATCGAGCCATCGTACATGGCGGGTAGAAAAACGATCGGCCACTCCAAGCCCTTTGCCGCGTGGATCGTGGAGATGGTGACCTGGTTCAGCTCGCTGCCTTCCTGGTCTGCAGCAGATGATAGAGTTACGTTTGCGAGGAATTTGGAGAGAATGTCGGCAGCACTGTCCTGGCGCTGCTCAATACCGTCAACGACCGGTAAGGCGTCATCGGATATCTCTTCTCCATTCGCAACTGCTGTAGCCATTTGCGTTGCCTGAGCCACCAGCTCTTCCACGTTAGCCCACCGGTCCTCCCAATTTTCCTTATGTGTCTGCCGGAGGTAGACCTGAAACGAGATCTTCTGGAGCACGTGGCTGATGAGGTCCAGAAGATTGCAGTCCTCACCCTCTGCCGGCATGAGCTTTTGACGACTAGTAAGGATAATGTTGACGAATTGTTCAATACCCTTCTGGGCTTGGGCAGATACTTTGCTCTCCGGCTTCCGTCTGCCTTGCGCAGTATCAAGGACCAAGCTCCACAATGTAACCTTCCGCGTCTCCGCCTCTTCAAGCAAGGCCTTGATCGTCACATCTCCAACTTTTCGGGTTGGGACGTTGATGACCCGAGCCACCGCATCGTTGTGATCTGGCTGACTGATCACACGAAGATAGTCCAGTATGATCCGTATCTCAGCACGGTCGAAGAATTTCGTGCCGGCGACCATGCGATAGGGAATGCCAGCTTGCCCCAATGCCCTTTCGATCTGAAGTGAGAGCTGCGAAGATCGGAGGAGAATAGCATAATCGTTGTATTCGAGCAAGCCAGCTGTCAAAGTTCTAGATCGCTGGATCTCCTCTACGATCCATTTTGCCTCCACGAATGCTGAAGCCAGATGACGAAGAGTTGGCTGTTCACCAACACCGTGTGTTGCAATCAGTGACTTTTGCGGTCGATGCTCATCTTGTTCAATGACAGCCATGGCCGAAGTGAGGATTCGACCCGAGGAGCGGTAGTTGTTCTCGAGGTTGATGACAATGGATTCCGGATAGTCAGCGCGCATACGATGGAGGTTCTCTATTTCCGCTGATCGAAAACTGTAGATGCTCTGATCTGGATCGCCGACGATCGTGATACGTCTTGTCTTTTGTGCCAACAACTGCATGAGCTCGTACTGGATGTTATTGGTGTCTTGATACTCATCGATGAGCACAGCCTGTATAGTCGAGACGCACGATGGAGATCGCTTAAGTAGTTCTACGCATCGCACAAGGAGATCATCGTAGTCTAGAAGATTGGCCGCTTTCAGATGTTCTTCATAGGATGAGTACACCATGGCAAATTCGTTGTCGTTGACGTTCTTGGCGGTCCTTCGGAAGTCGTCTGCAGAGATCCCCTTGGCTTTCAACTTTGATATTCTTGAGCGAGCATGTCCTGGCTCCACGGTGTAGTCGTAACGTTTGATGATGCGTTTGAGTATTGCTGAGCTGTCGCTGGTATCTGCAATTCCAAAGTTCTTGTCGATACCAATCTCTTGACCATACCGAGATAGGAAGCGACGTGCAACAGAGTGAAAAGTTCCCAGAATCAACTTTGCTTCCAACTTGTCGCCGACAAAGCCTCTGATCCGTTCTTTCATCTCCTTGGTGGCCTTGATCGTGAATGTACATACGATAATATTCCATGGTTGTAGTCGCTCATGATTGATATGGTACGCGACGCGTGCTGTGAGTGTCTTCGTCTTGCCTGAGCCCGGGGGTGCCAGCACCTGCACAACGTTGGCCGGGCTGGTGACCGCGCTTTTCTGCGCATCGTTGAGTCCTTCCAGCAATGCATCCATGGGTACAGAGGAACGCGTTGCGTCCCATGTCGAGCGATTACCAGTGGAGGCGTGGCGCGAGCGGAGAATTAGCGGCGACGCGCCAGACGCGCTTGCACGTGACGATAAGATAAGCCGAAGCTTTTCTTCCAGACATCCACCTCCATGCTGCATACCCATTACCTTCGCTTTGAATTATCTCATTTATTGAGGACTGTCCGGAGCCATGGCGGACTTTCAAGCTGTTACTGATCGGTTCCTGGCTTGGTTTAAATCAGTTGGTGGAGAATTTTGCGATGACCTGCTCGCGATCAGGGATCTTAGAAGTCGGGATGCCGGTAGAGGCATTGGTGAGTTGTGCTGAACGATCTTCGCCAAATCCTGTTGTTCAAATCTTTTAGTTGCTGTCAAGGATATACCGGAAGATACTACATTATTTACCATCCCGAGAAATGCTATCATCAATGTTG